GTGGAACTCATAGAAAATTTCATTTTTAATGTGATTACACATCATAACCGAACTGATCAATCTAACCTCTCTTAACTACTTGAAAACCCAATTCAATAGGGATTTAATTTTAGACACTCATCTTTTCAATCTCTTACCATTCTTCTCTTGGATGACGTTCACTCATCGACCCCTATGATTCGTCAACGAATTTTTTACTACATCTGGGTAGAGTTGAATTCTATAATATTCGTATCAATCAAATTCTTCATAATCTTCTTGAAGGAAAAACAATTTTTGATCGAATACCCACGAAATCAGAGTGGTACTCGCAACAATCGTTCGTATCATACCATTGAGAAGAAGGTGGCTTAAGTGGTTTGATATGATAAGGGTGCACCAGGTCCACCCTTAGAATTGCAACGTACACCTCATAATATGGTGCTGGTACTAGTGTAAATCTTACTCTTTTAGCTTCTTTTATCTTCCCTCGATGCTCATTCCTATTAGAATCAGACTCCACTGTAGCAGCTCTCAGCTGAGTAATCGTATTCTTAGCATAACCCTTATTGTTAGTACTCGTAATGTTCACTTATTCTCCTTCTTTTTTAACATTCTTTTCTCAACCTCATCTATTTTTCCACTTTTGATGGTAACTCTATTAATTCTCTGGAAATTACCATGTTAGCAAAACTTTTGGAAGTACTCCCCAAGATACGATCCAAGAATGGCCTTTCAGAGTATGAAGGAATAAAAATATGGTTTTCTTGTCCATCAAATGTAGTTGGACTTGGACAACCATATCATGCCACCTTTGGGAGTACTGTGAAAAGTCTCATTAGGCTTCTTTTCCATGTTCATCAGAGCCACTCGATCAGGAATTATATCAGTAACATGTTTGTATTGCACAAGAAATGCCCTGGACAAATCCATCCAAGATCTGATGTTGATGTGACTCAATTGTGTGCACCATCTAGCTGTGAAACCATTGAGAATATCCAGGAAATAGTGGATAAGTAACTTTTCATCCTTCAGAAATCTGACCATTTTACGATAATACATGGTCAGGTAAGCAGATGGACAACTAGTCTCGTCATATTTTTTAAACTCATGGGCCTAAACTTGTAAGGAAAAATCAGATTTCGTACAATACTCAATTCTCGAGCATTCATGTCCTATACATCAGTGGATTCTATATATAGCCTTTATTTTTCCTCTAGTTTATAATTATACACATAACTAAAATTAAAAAAAATATAAAAATTAATACACATTCAATAAATAAACACATTAATAAGCAAATTGAAAGGAATAAGGACTGAATTGAATTAAACATAAAGTTGAAAGTATTTAAAGTAAAATTTACTTAGTGACTAAAATAAAAGCCAGAGACATCAATAAAACCCGCGTAGAATCTTGTATTTATGAGCTAATTTCCCCAAAAATTCATATAAGTATAAAAGTCAATTTTTTAGACATGTCCCTCATTTTTTTCTAAAAATTTTCTCATCCCCTCAAGCTCCTCTCAACCATCCCTTTTATTTTCCCCTTTTTTTATGAACAAACACCTTATTTTCAGAAAACTTATCCCTTTTTAAGATCAAAACCTATGTGTTCATCATTGTTCTTCCAAAGTGCATCACAAAAACTTGTCTTGATCCGATAATAACACCCAAAATTCCAAACAAAGTTGTTTCAAAGATCAAACTCCAATTACTTTCCAAGAACTTCAAATTTCCCTTCATCATTTACCTCCCTTAATTTTTATAAACTCGGAAACTTCATCCCAAACGTATTTTTCAAGATCTATACCACTCATACCCCAATTACACTTCCAAAATCCTAAAGTATTCTTCAACCAAGCCTAATCCTAAAACCTTGATTCAATAGAATCAAACCCAAGCTCCTCCCATCTAGGCTACCCAAATCGAAAGCCACCATGATCTGACCGTCCACCGCCGTACCCGAACACTAACGGTCAGCACCCTACGACCACCGACCACCATACACGTTGGTTCTCGCCTCAAAGCTTCCCCTTATTTCAATTAAAATCAACACCCAAAAACAAAACAAAACAAAAAAATTAAGAAATTACCTTCTTTTCACACTTTGATAAGAGCCTCTGATGAACTTGACAACTCTGGTGATCCACCAAAGATGCTCCGGCGACAGTAAGCTCACCATTTCTTTCTCGTTTTTCTCTTAGTAATTTGATAGAATTATGCTCTTTGATTCATCTGTGATGATTACGGTGTGATTATTGCTCATTATACTAAAAATATGGCTCCGGGTTGTTGTTAATCCCGCCCAAAGTTTGTTATGGAAAATGGTTATGGCTTTAACTTCCTTTGCAACTCACTAATTTTTTCCATTTTTTGGTATTTTTTCGGTTCGAAACAACACCCAATGTTTAGAGAAGGTGGCGACAAGGCGGCGCGTGAGCTGATGACGACATACTGGCCACGCACCAACAACACTCCATGACGGTAATAACTTCTAGTGATGACGTGACTCTCGTAACCCTTGGATTCGATATTCATAAACGATCTTAATTGATTTTTGTTTCTTCACAAGAATTGCCAACTTGGAACATTCTAGAAAATACCAACGCATTAAATAAATTAGGCCCACCATATATATTCCCAAGGCATGAAAAAGTCAAAAGTCCCTCAAAGGATTGTTTCAAATACCTAGGGTCTATGATACATAAAGATGAGGGTATAGATGATGACGTTACACACCGTATAAAGGTGGGATGGCTAAAGTGGAGGGTTGTAACTGGAGTTTTGTGTGACAAGAAGGTGCCTCTAAAACTTAAAGGAAAATTTTATAGAATGGCAATAAGACCAGCGCTGCTGTATGGATCAGAATGTTGGGCAATCAAGAAGGATTACGTAAGGAGGATGGAGGCCGTAGAAATAAGAATGCTTCGATGGACATGTGGTAGGACTCTGAGGGACTTGACACCAAACTCTACAATTAGGAAGTCCTTGGGGGTGGTGCATGTATCCGAAAAATTGAGGGAGGGAAGACTACGGTGGTTTGGGCATGTCCTTAGGCGACAACCGTAGGATGCAGTCAGAAGGGTAGAGTCGATTATTGTCGACGGTGCCAGAAAGAGAGGACGACCAATGAGGAAGTGGGTTGACTGCTTGAGATCTGATTTGAAGGAATTAGCTCTTACCGAGGACATGGCCTCTGATAGGAAAGTATGGAGACTCAAGACCAGGGTACCCGAGTAGTGTAGCATCTCTGTCTTTTTTTAATTCCTTTATAGTAATCTCCATGACTTCTACTTTTTATATGTTTCTGTCATAGGAATTTATGAAGGCTTAGAACTAGGATAACGGAGTAGTGTTGCCTTAGTTTAGGATTTAACCCATTTGACTTTATTCCTTCTTGTAGCTTGCTATCGCTGATTTCTGTGTATCCTTCTCTTCCTGTTTCCTCTTTTTAAATTTAACCGGGACCTACGTTTCTATCTAGAAGCAGAGATTTTTACACAGGGATTTATTTGCATGGATTACTTCCCATTACAGATACGCATATAAAGACTGCATATGAAGACTGTTCAACTGTGTATTTATTGATTTATTTATGCATGAACTGTATTTTATCTTTATTTTTAATTATCTTACTGCCGGAGATCTTCCACGGAAGCTGCTCTCAATCTGGCGTTGGGGACAACCTACTACCCCACCTCCCCCTTACCCCATTGCATATGAGAATAGGGTTTTATTGTTGTTGTTGTTGATATTTTGGAAACATAGTGGGTTTGGATTTTAGGCCTAGTATATATTTTTGTAAATGGACTTTATTTATGTATTTGGATCATTTTGTAATTGGATTTTACTTAATGGACTCTAAAAAGTGGACTCTTATTATTTTACAATATAAACTAGTATTTATTATTAAAAAGCATACTAACATATTAATAAATGTCATATACCCATATACTAAAATATTAAAACCATATACTTCATAAACAAACTATATTAATAGTATATTTATTAAAACTACATCATATTAAAACCATGTATCATATACCAAAACTATACTAATATTATTTTTTTAAACAAAACGATATGAAAACTATATACTATATTTATTTAAAAAAACCATAAAGCTCACTAAAAATGCCCGGTTAAAATGGGTGATGAAAGTGTGCATGTGTGTCGAAAGAATTTACCCTAAACCTGAATCGAATTGAATAAGAGATGAAGAAATGTTATATTTGATTCAAATTTGAATAAGTAAAAAATTCGACCTGACACATGATCATCTCTAAATAAATTCTAAGACAAATTATGCATTTAGTACCTAAATTATTACTTTTGATCCCTTTTAGCACATAAACTTTCAATTTTTTTCAAAATCATACCTAATATTTAGTTTTTGTTTCATTTTAATATCCGTCGCTAAAAACTTAACGCTTTAAAACTATCAATTTAGGTACTAAATTGGTCCATTTAGTACCTAAACTTTCAAATTTTTTTAAAACTTAACGTTAAATTTTGATTGAGGCTACTAAAATGAAACAAAATTTAAACTTTAGATATCGTTTTGAAAAAAATAAAAGTTTTGATACAAAAACAGACCAAAACTTATAGTTTAGGCGCTAAACACGTAATTTACCCTAATTCTATATATGTAATCTATTTTTTATGCAATTGATAGATATTTAAGAATAAGTCGCTTTTAAGGATAAATGAAAAAAGTTTTGCATAAGAAGATTTTTATTATTATCTATAATTCGCACAATTAAAATAATGCACATTAACACTTACATGATTAGTAAATGTTTGATATATGAGTAAAAAGTCAAGCAAACCGACGGCGGCTAACACATAGGTTAAACATATAATGCCCAAGTATATGATTATTTGAATAACATGCATGATTTGTTATGTTATTAATTAAAAATAAAAATATTAATTTATTTATACATCACTTAATCTAAAAATAATTTAGATTGAAATAAAAATGGCAAATGAATATTGTCTTTAAGTGCATCACAGTTTGAGCTTTACCTCTTCATTCTCACCATGGACTGGACAGGCACAGTTCTTGCAGTTGCTGCACTTATCCTTCTCTTTCAAGTGTTGCCATGGAAAACTAGGGCTAAAACTAAGAGGCTACCACCCGGTCCGAGAGGGCTTCCGATTCTCGGAAACCTTTTGATGGTAGGGAGCAAACCGCACCGAGATCTTCGACTATTAGCCCTCAAGTATGGCCCCATCATGCACTTACGCTTCGGTTTCATGCCCGTAATCGTTGTCTCGTCCCCCGAAGCCGCCGAGCTATTCCTCAAGACACATGACCTTGTGTTCGCTAGCAGACCGCCTCATGAAGCGTCTAAGTGTATCTGTTACAATCAGCAAAATTTGGCCTTCTCCCCCTACGGCTCATACTGGCGCAACATGCGTAAGATGTGCACCTTGGAGTTACTTAGTAACCACAAGATTACTTCTTTCAGGTCGATGAGGAAACAAGAACTCGATCTTTTGGTTCGACGTATCCGAGAGGCTGCTACCAGTGCTGTTGCTGTTGATCTTAGTTCCGAGGTCACGTCGTTTAGTACCGATGTTTCTTGTAGAATGATCATTGGAAAGAAATATAATCGTGACGATTTCGGTGAAAAAGGGTTCACGGCTACACTCCGAGAGGCTATGCAAATAGGATCTTGTTTTAACTTAGCTGATTACATTCCTCAAATTAGGGTACTCGATCTCCAGAGACTAACAAAGCGTATGAAAGCTATTGCCAAGGATTTTGATGACTTCTGTGAGAAGATAATTGAGGAGCATGTTCAATCCGAAGACGAAAACAGGGTCAAGGACTTTGTCGATGTCATGTTGGGATTCGTTGGATCGGAAGAAACTCACGAGTACCGTGTCGAACGAGACACTATCAAAGCGATCATCTTGGTATACTCTTCTATGTCTCAACATATGTTCCTTGATTAACAATCTTTTTCTGCAAAATTTTATCTAAATTTACCCACGATTGTTGCAGGACATGCTTGCAGCTTCGATGGATAGTTCAGCTGCTACGATTGATTGGACAATGACCGAACTCATCAGACATCCACGGGTGACAAAGAAACTCCGAAATGAACTCGAAAGCGTGGTAGGCACGAAAAGGATGGTCGAAGAGTCGGACCTGGAGAAATTGGAGTACTTAGACATGGTTATCAAAGAAAGCTTCAGACTTCATCCGGCGGCACCGTTGCTTGCGCCGCACGCCGCTAGGGAGGATTGCATGGTGAACGGCTTTCACATACCCAAGGATGCTCGTATCATGATAAACGCATGGGCCATAGGTCGAGACCAAAGGGTTTGGACCGATGCAGACGAGTTTTATCCAGAGAGATTCGTTGGAAGCGACATTGACCTTGGCGGACATAACTTTGAGCTGATCCCGTTTGGTTCCGGTCGCAGAGGCTGCCCCGGAATGCAATTGGCTCTTACCGTCGTTCGGCTCGTGGTGGCACAATTGGTTCATTGCTTTGATTGGGAGCTGCCGGATAATATGTTGCCAACTGAATTGGATATGACCGAGGACTTTGGACTTGTTTGTCCTAGAGCCTGCCATCTCCTAGTTATACCAACATGGCGTCTAAAGACTTTCTAATTTTACCTTTTCCGTATTTAGTCTCTCAATTATATTTAACTTATCATCTTTAAATTAATTATATTTTAACTTATCATATTTAACTTAGCATCTCGATTATCACTTTTGTTTCATGTTAATCATTTAATTATTATTTTTCAAAAATCATATATAATGTTACATTTTGATTTCATTTTGGTCATCAGCCGTTTTAAGGTTAAAAAATTGAGGTGATCATTTGGGTTTGATACTAACGTGTCATCCTCTACAATAACGAAACATTGACATCCGACTCGAAACGAAACACACACCGAAGAGTGAACCATGGCCTACAATAGCACCCAAGGTCCCAATGCTTACAACCAAAGAACAGATCTTAGCCCACCCTACTGAATCGCCACGATTCAACCGAGACAAGAAGTGATAGACCAAACTGAGCTTCATCAAAACCCCAACCACTTGCTACTCTATAACTTCGTTCCATAATCCCAGCTACGCTCAAATGAAACATGTATTTAGCAACCAACATTAATGAATAGAGTCAACCATTAGTGCAAACACACCATCGTTCAAATCAACGAAGTGACCAAAATCTTCTAACTTCGATGTTCCATACCCACACACCATCAACGAAGTGACCAAAATCCGAAACCTTACCCACCTTCCTAACTCCACCAAACAAGCTCAAATCAACCACTTTAGTAATCATACCAAACAAAGCCTCACCTACTAAGTTAAACAGAAAAGGGGACAATGGGCAACCTTGACGGAGCCCTTTCTTAATGTTGAACTTATTAGTTGGGGAGCCATTCACCAAAACAGATATTAAAGTCGTCGTGATATATAAATCCATCCATCTCCGTCGTCTTTCCTCAAAACTCATGATTCTCGTCACTAAATCTAAGAACTTCCGGTCAACCGAGTCATATGCTTTTCTAAAGTCTGGTTTAAAGACAATCGCTCTTCTTTTCCTTCTGTTGAGTTTGCCGATCACTTCGTTTGCAATGAGTGAACAATATGTTATCTGTTTACTTGAAATGAACGCAAACTGAGTCTCACCGACTACTTCATTGATACAAACTGTCAACCTCATAGCCAGAACTCGAGCAACGATATTATATAGGCTACCAACTAGGGAGATCGGTTACTAATTTTTTATCAGGCGAATAAAAAAATTTAGGTTTCGTACTTAAAGAAATGTTTAGGGGTCTTTGAAAAGATTTGTGAAATGTTGGTAGTCGCCGTCAATCATTTTTAAGGTGCGATTAGAACATTTAAAATCGAGTAATTTTAATGAAATATTTTATTTTACTAAAAGTACCAAATTTGGGGTCTACGAAAACCAAAAATCAGGTTCGGGGGCACGGTTGTGTGTGAAGAAGGGTTAGCATCCTCACCACACTCGTAAAAACGGCACTTACTTGAACACAAATATTTTTATCTTGACTTATGCATGCACTTAATGTATTTTTAGGTTAATAAGGGAATTTTATATTTTCAAGAATAACTTTGAATTTTCTAACAGCTAAGAGAATTAAAACTATGTTCAAAAATCATAAAATTTCGTAAATTAATCTATATAAAATTTCAAGGGTAAAGTCTTTCATGAGTGATTTCAAATATTCCCCAACGTCTAGAAGAATATTAAAATTTTAACCCTATTCACGAAGACACGACCATATTCCACAACTAATAAAAGGTAAATAATAATCAATGGAAATAAAGTTTGACTAAGCATATCGACAAAACTTTCGAGATAATGTTCTCAAAGAAATTAATTCACGAGATAATGCACTCCCCAGATTAATTGCTCAAATAGGGTGAAATCCACAGTGTTGGTCGTAGGTCGCCATGCCTTCCGGGCGACCTACTAGGTCGCCATGTCTTCTCGGTGAGCTACGAGAGAGATTGCATGTGTCATGCACGTCCCAACACGTTGGGCATCTGAGGGCATCCGACTGAGCTATGCGAGAGCATCCGAGGCCATTCGAGTGAGTTATGCGAGGGCGGCCAAGCGAGCTATGCGAGGGAATGCGAGGGCATCTGAGCGAGCTATGCGAGGGCATCCGAGCGAGCGAGCAAGGGTAGGTCGCCATGCACGACATGGTAGGTCGCCATGCACGCTGGGCGACCATATCCCCAGCAAGATTCCTGCGCCTGCTCCCCGCTGCATGCTCCCCACTGCATGCTCGCCTGCTCCCCGCAGCTCCATACACCTTTATTCGTTGCATTATTGCAGCATCATTTGTTGCTTCATGCAACAATTATTGCTGCAATCCACGAGAATCAACGGCTCGTGGTTCTTCAATTATTGGTGGATGAATTGAAGCAGACGACTCTCTTTAATATATAAGGGGTATGATATAGGGTTAAGGAAGCATAAGAAAGAAAGGGAGAAGAGTGCCGATAGAAAGGAAAGGAATAAGAGGAAGAAGAAGAAAGGGAGTCTGGTAAGCAAACATCGAGGTAAATTTTCATTTTATTTAATTTAAATTAGTTTATTATTTTAAATTATTAGTTTGATAGTCTAGGGTTATGGTTAGGGTTTAGGGTAAAATTTTTTACTTAATTAGTTAGTTTGTTAGTCGTTAGTTATTTATAAAAAAATATGTACTTAGTTTGTGTTAGTTAAATAGTTAAGTTGCCATATGATTTGATGAATTTATATTATATAAAAAATTTAGTTAATTAATTTTTTAGTAGTAAATTATAATTAAAAAATTGTTTATTAGTTTAAGTTATATTAAAGAATAATTTATTAGTTGAAGTTATATTAAAGAATAGTTTATTAGTTGTTTAAGGGAAAATTAAGTTTAAGTTATATTTTAAAAAGTTTAGTTTGTTATTTTATAAGTTTATTATATTATTAGTTATTATATTAAATTTTTTTGTTGTGTTGTAAATTAGTTAGTTACTTACTTACTTAACATTAGATTATATTAAATGATTTTTTAAATACTGTTGTTTAATTATTTTTTTACATATTCATTCGAATGGCTGACCAAATTCCACTGTTGAGACTTGACAATGAACATATTTCAAGTCATTTGGGAATAATGGTGAATAAAATATTTGTTTAATAAATTATTATTAATAAATATTTGAATATTATTTTATGATTCTGATAATTTTTTTGTATTATTTAATTGCAGGAGGACGAGCAGCGAGTCCTTCGTCTTCGGCTACATAAAGTGCCCAAGCCACATCGATTGATAGAAGAAAACCTGCAAGAGGCTGGATTTTGGTATGTAACATTTGTGCGAGATTACAAGTTGGTCCCAGGTTTGATCAGTGCGTTGATTGAACGTTGGAGACCAGAAACGCACACATTTCATTTGCCTTGTGGCGAATGTACGATTACTCTGGAGGATGTGGCTATGCAACTCAGGGTCCAAACTAATGGGATGCCGGTGGTAATGTCACATGAGTTTACTAATGTGGCACAACTGTGTAGTTTGTTTCTTGGGAAAACGCCCGTACCATCAGAGTGTAAAGGGTGGCATGTGAGGTTGTCATTGTTGAAGAATGAATTTCAGCTTCAACCAAACAGTACAAAGCACGCAATTATATATGCAACACAAGCATATATATTGCAATTGATTGGCGGAATTTTGATGCCAGATAAATTCGGTAGTTATGTTCACACTCAGTATCTTCTTTTTTTAAGAAATTTTGAGAATAGTAGGCAATATAGCTGGGGATCGGCGATATTGGCGTTCTTGTATCGTGAGATGTGCAAGGCGTCATTAGTCGTGAATGATAATAATTCAGCAGAAATCAGTGGATGTCTGTTGTTGCTATAATCATAAGCTTGGCATAGACTTCCGTTTTTGACACCGATTAGTCGGACTGCGGTTGACTTTCCACTTGCTGGAAGGTAATATGAATCCTCTATTTTAAATATAAAATATTTATTATAAAATATTTATTTTGATTAAAATTATTAAATAAAATGGCCATATTTTTGTTTTGATTGATATACAGATGGATGCATAAAATTTAAGGCACGTGGTTGGTACACAACAACATTAAAGAGTTCAGGTTGAAGATCGACATTAAGGCCAAAAAGGAGGTATGTATAATCTGTTATTTTTAATTTTTATTTAAATTAACTATATTATTTGATTTAAATTAATTTTTTTGTTATTTTAATTTTATAGTTTAATTGGAGACCATACATGAATGAAGAAATTTTGGCGTTGGTCTCGCACTATGTTTTAGATGGGTTTCAATATTGGTGTGCTGTTACACCATTGATCAATTTTATTTTTGTTGAGATCCAATTTGGGGATAGAGTGTTGAGGCAATTCCACTTCCACCAACCTATTCCGCGGAGTCCATAGGATCATGACCTCCTTCAAAACTTAGATGGTCGTCGTCAGGTGAATTGGGTTGAGACGCATGACCACCTGCACAGATTTGATGGTCGCCGTAAAGAAAATGTTAATTGGGTTGAGAAGCATGCAACCTACATTAATGCTTGGAATAATAGGGCTTCATTCATGCCAACTCTTGACGACATTCAAGATGACGACTTTAATTTTGAGACTTCGGCTTACCTTGCTTATTTTTGGGATAATGGAAAGTCTTTCTTGACAACAATGGTAGAGAGGCGACAATTTTTGAGGTTTAAGAAAAGATTTGGTAAAGTTGAATACTCTCTACCGAGTGGGAGTGGGAGTTCATCTCAACAACCTGAAGCGGAAATGACAGATGTGGATAATAGCGTACCACAACCGTTCGACGATGCGGGATCGTTGCATCACGCATTTGATGATTCTATTGTCCCGACATACATACCAGAGTTTGTGCAGCCTGAGGCACCCATCTACTCTCCCATGTTTTCATCGACGTATGACTTTGAACACATGGCAATTCAAATGCCCCCAATGAATGAGGAGGATGGTTACCATACTCCTGAGCAGCCGCAACGGCCACAACGCATCAGACGTCCACCCCGACATTATCATTTAACAACATCCCGACATCGACAACAATTGTAAACTCGTTTGTTATTTGTT